TAGAAAGCTCTATTTAAGAGGAACATTTTAAAAAAAAGTTCATTGAAATCGGTTGAGATGCGGCGGAGATATGAATTTTTAAAGGTTTCCACTTTAAAAAATGGCAACGTCGCAACCCGGCTTTTCTAAGCAAAACGGCGACCGGTTTTGGGCGTCTCGGAAGCTACTGTATCACCCCAAGTGATCAAAATTCGAAAATGCCTTGAGGCATTTTTGGCCGTTTTTTCACACACCTCTTTGCAAGGGTTATTCAAAATTTACGCACCACTGGCTATAAATTTATTTCTAATTAAGATATCGACTTGCGGTTGGTGACGTTTTTCCACATATCAAGGGGAAAACTTGTTTAGGTACTTTCCAGTTTTAGACCTACTCAGGGGGAGGAGGGTGGGGGTGGGGGTGGGGCAACTAAATATCTCAAATGACCATCCCCCTCATGGCCTGTGGTGGTTATAGGACCTTTCGACAACGATTTTTTTGTCCTCATACCTGTTTTTCTAGCAGTTTACGTCCACGCGTTTTTTCGGCAGGGGAGTTTTGGTCCACTTATCAATCGAGACCCAAAGTTAATAAGTCTACATGTGAATACATGCAAGTCCTAGTATCTGTATTCAAGAACGTTTGGCATGATTTTTGAACTTCATTAGAGGAAAAAGTGACTTGATTCAAGCAGTTCTAAGCTCGAATTTACCGCCGAGAGAATTTCCTCATGAATCGATAAAGAAAATAATGTTTGTTTAAGAAAAGATGCTTACATAAAAAGAAAAGTTACTCACATCAAACAGAAACCCGCTTTCATTCAGCTACTTTCGTCTTGATTTAAAATAAATTCCTCTTGACTGCATACTCAAGGATGTTTCTGCCTAAATCGGGTCACTGTTTTCCTCTAATGACATTCAAAAATTATGCTAAACGTCATGAAATACGGATGCCATCACTTATTGAGTTTTAGGACCACAGCTATGTTTTTGTGCCGGAGTATCTTAATTTATTTTGAGAAGAAAGTTCCGTACTCTTAAAGGATGCCTGTCATCCTGAACATGCTGGAGCACCTTCAATTTCGTATGATACTGTGCAACACCTCTGTTGTGAAATAGTTGCTTTATGGCGCCGTGGTTTGCTGCGGCGCGGCGCGCGCGGCGGGACGGCGGTCGACGCGCAATGTGCATTGGCGCCTAGAAACCTAAGTGGATACTCCAAGCATTGCGCAATGCGTGAAGTATCCACTTAGGTTTGTAGGACGCTTCGCTCTGTTTTCGGCTCTAATATTTAAACTCGCGAAGTCAGCATTTTTCAACTCGTGATTTTGAGATGTTTGCAAACTCTGCGTGGATTATTCTCATTTGAATCGACGGAAAAAATATGTAAAGGAAAATATAATGTGTGTTTTGTAAATATTCAGGTGGTTCCGTGTCAAATGACTTTAATTTTTTCTTTTAAAATTTGTGCTTTTACTGTGCTACAGCGTGGTGTATTCGGAACCAATCGCTTTAAATTGGACGCATTTGACTCTAAAAGGACGTAATAAAATTACCAATGATTGCGAACTTCTTGCTTTTTTCCTCTTTTATTCATTTTTGTACAGTTTCTTTCAACACCACTGCGGCTAAATGATATTAATATCGATCCCATCTCTTAGTAAGTACTTGCCACGTTTTAAAAATGTAAATTTTTTTAAAATGAAGTATAATTTTCATTAAAAAAAGGTGTATATAAGGTATACTTCATATAAAAAATATTAAGGATAGAAATAAAACCAAATTTTCATCAATGACAATTTGAAAAGATGAATCATAACAGTTCATTTAAAAAAAATTGTCACCATAACGACACCTCCTTAAAATTCTCTCTCAAATTTCTCATTTTGATAGTCTCAATAATATGATTTTACATACGGAATAAAATATAATGCTTGGACCAAGTCACAGTTGCTTATTTTACGCGTGGACGTAATCTACTGGATAAAACAGGTGCGCGGACAAAAGATCGTTGACAAAATGCCCTGGCGCCGCAGTGGTGCGTGACTTTTAAATAACGCTGTATCATGAGCACGACCACGAAGTTGGCATGGTACGAGCATGATCAGAGATCGACAGACAACACGTCGCCGAAAAAATTTTTGGAGTGGATTCCTCCAGCGGGCCGATTATTGAAATTGAGTTCGATCTAAAAGGTGAATGTCACAACCGCTACCACCGGACCAGTGCATCGCAAGAGGACAGCAGTGTGGTCAATAACAAAGAAAGGAACACTAGTTATATTTCAAGAACTAAAGTCGTTTGGCAAAGGCGTTAACATACTGTATAGTTATAAATATGTACAAAGAAAAACTTTTACAGTTGTTGAATACTTGGAGAGTTTCACTTTCCTCTTTGGGAATAAAAATGAGATTATAACATTACCATTGTTTCGGGATATTTTTGGTTTAATTTATTCCATAATTTATTTAAGTTTACCTGCTGCGGAGTATAGAGTAGGAAGCCAGTCAGATATGTGCATATATCCTGCTGAAGATCTTTTCGGATTTTTGAGGAGCGGACTCCATACTGCAGCCACTCCTCTGACACCGCCTTCAAATACCGACATTTTTGCCTAAAATAATATTCATTCTTATCAATGTGCTAACCGCAACGAGTAAAAAATGTAAATTCTTAGATTTATTATTACTTTTCCATCAATTGCATTCGAGTCAAATAATTTCTATTTTATCTCACCAGTATTACGAAAAAGAGTTACACATTTTTCGGTTTTATCTGAACCCTCGCAACTTACACATATTTTAGGGTTTTTTGCCCCCCAAAAATATATAAATATTTGTGCGAATAAAAATCTACATTTCTTGCGTAGTAGGAACTGCGTATACAGAATGACATCAACTCTATTTGCGGAGTTATATTCAATATGACGCAGCAGATTTCACCGCTTAATTGGATAATTCGAGTTTATTCATGAAGAAAATAGGCTGCAGAAGAAAATGCTTTTCGGATTTCATTCCAAGATTTCTGACAAAGTAAGTGCGCGGAGCGCCAGATGAGTTAAAGGCCGCGTTGTGGCCAAGATAGGCTCTTAATTGAAGACTTCTTTTGCAACAAAAGGATTCAATGTCGGGACATAATAAACGATATTTCGAAAATTTCGAGGAAAAAGCCGCTTAATGTTAGACAGTCACATACTTACAGTGTCTCAGCCCGAATAAAGTTAAAATCGGTGACGTCAAAGTTAAAGATGAATGTTTTACAATGCATTTAAACGTGAATGACTGAATCTGAAACATGAATCCAATTATTTTGAAAAACTAAAATTTAACAGACTTACACCTCGCAAAGGCCAATTAGACGCACTATTTTGAAGCACCACAGAGGGGTATGAGGTAGGACCTCCATTATCAGAGATGAAAACTATGATACTATTCTGCAACATATTTGTCGCATCCAAAGCTTCAACGACGGCTCCCAGTGAATCGTCCAACGCTTCCATCACACCTAACAATAATGAAAACATCATTACAATAAGCTCCCCCCACTGTACTACAGTGTTCGCTTTAACTATTAAAATAGTTTGTAAATTAGCGGTTCAAAGCTCACTACATAAGTCCTTGTGGAGTCCCAGGAACAACTTCGAAAGAAGAGGAACACATTTTGTTGTGTTTTTTAACGGAGAAAAAGCCTAGAAGTTTCATTCATGTGACTCGAAATTGGGAAAAATCCCGTGAAACGTCCCGTGGAGACAAGGGCTTAGAAACAAATATTTGTATGCTCTAGTTGAAATTTGCAACAGGCTCATTTCACTGCCAATGAAAATGAAAGTTTACGAGCCAAATTCTTAGTTTCTCTGCGTAGAAATAAAGCTAAATTTTGAAATATTTATGGAAAAGTACTCATGTAAGTATCCTGCATTTCTCACCTGCATAAGTGCGCCTCAGCGGGTCTTTGACGTAGCTATATTTTTTGGAAGTTACGGCTTCATCCCGTGACTCCAAGACCCCGATTGCACCGGTGTGGGGCGCTAGGTGTGATATGAGGAGGAACAGGGGCCTCTCTGATACCTCATGGTTTTTAATTATTTTCACCGCCTCTTCTGTGTACACGTCCGTCAAATACTCACCCACGACCTCCTCTTTCCTTCGTTCCCCATCGCGGTAACAATCGTAACCTCGTGAATTGTTGAACTCAAAAAAGAAAAAAGTGAACATAGATTTTTTTTAAATCTTTCATCTAAAGTTCTTGTAAGTAAGGCAAATCATCTGTCTTTCCCTGCGGTTAATTATTTAGAATTGGACATAATTCTGCAATTAGAAACTAGCTACAATTTTTGGCTCATCGGTAAAAACGCTCATGCGCGTAGGGAAACTAACGGTGAGTACGTTGATCCTACAGTGGACCAGCGGCCTGATTATTGAAATTGATAGACAAAGCTGTAGACAAAGAAGACATAGGGAGTATGGAGCGATCCTATTGGTTAAAATGGGTGGTTCCTATAGTTTAAGCGAGAAAATTATCCTCTAACTATCGGGCCTCTCGTGGGTTGCCGTTAGTTAGTCTATAATCTACCCCTCTTGTCTATTGCAACCACCCGCTTCCACCAATAAGATCTCTCCATATCTCTTTTGTCTTCTATGTCTATAGCTTTGTCTATAAATGTCAATAATCGGCCCGTTGAGATTGTGGTTGAGGATGTAGATAATACGGCTTTGACCAGACTTCCCGAAACTGCATCAAACATTGTCTGATTCCCTTCCATGTTAATTTTTTTCCGAGAAAATGAAGAAATATTGTAACCTACAATTTATTCGGAGTGTTTTTTCTAGAACCCATGAAAATTAAATTTAAAAAAAACTTCAAAAAGTCAATATGTTCCATTCTCTATTAAAAAAAAAAAAATAAAATAAAAAAAATAAATCAATGAAGGAAAAAATCAACAACAACAAGAAAAGACAAGTGGAAATTAGGAAATGCGAAAATTAATCAGGCTGATTTGGCCAAACCTATCAAATTGGTATTAAAAGTGATACGTCAACCTTATGCTCATTCGTACACTTCCACGAATTCGTCAAATAGATAGGACTCGCAAAATTTTGTCGGTCCTCTCACAGGTACTTAAATGGACTGAGTTAAGCAGAAAGGAACCAAGCCACATTTTGGAAAAAATTGAGTTATGAGTGGTTTTGAACTCAATCACTGCTCTACTATCGATCGCCAAAAATTCAAAGTTTTTGTTGGAGCAAATTTTGCAGAAATTGAACTTAAAGTTTATCTTTTACACTGAGTCTTATGCAGGAGCTAAACTTTAAACCTCTTTTTCTCGGTTCGATCCCGATGTGGCTTGGTTCCTTTCTGCTTAACTCCGTCCAAATATACCTAAGATGAGCCAATACTACTTTTAGGCTCGTCCTAGCGTATCTAATTGATCATTGGTGCGGTTTGAGCTCATCGACGGATGTTGCATTCACTTGTAAAAGTACTGACAAAATTATGCCTCTAAGTAGGGTATGAATGAAAAATACGCAGGTCGTAAGCCTTGATGCAAGTATTCTCGCTTAGAAGACGTCCGTGTTGCATAGTCAAGAAATTGACGGGGCATCTGTACGTTCGCGATGATTTGGATATTCTCTCACAGTAATTTTGCGCGTTAAATGATTTCTGAGATCGAATGTTTCCATTTTAATATCAACTGGAGTATAATCATTCCTTCCGCATTATGGTTATCCAAAAGAGGATGTCACATTCACGATAATTTTCTGGCTCCTATAGAACCAAATTTGAAAGTACCTCGTATTCTCTAACACTCTTTTTTATCTCTTAGTCGTGCAGTCTGTATAAGGTTGTTATCAAAACTTGGTTGTGTGGACAAGTTTTATCCGTGTGTTTTTAGCTTGAAGCTTAAATTAATGCATTATCTCTTTTCGTATTTGCAGTATCGGATGACATAAAACTTTTTAACAAATACATCAAACCGCAGACCAAAACCTATAAAGACCTTTATCTACCCATGACGAGTTTGTGTGCTGCGAAGTGCCACCCATGCAAATAATGATAAGTTTTGATCAGAAATCTCTAAAAAGGGTTTTACAGGTGAGGGGTACCTTATTGTTTGAGGGAGATAAAATAAATCGGAAAATTTCCGATGGACACTAACTTACCCATTCATGAACGGCATCCCTATAGCCAACGTAGCCATTATAGTATCCAAAATGGGAGTCAAATCCACGGCTCAATGGAGTCATGCTTGTGTTATGGTACCCAACATGCCACTTTCCAACTAATCGTGTCACGTAGCCCAACTCGCGCAAATACTGCAAAAAAGCGAAAAAAGAATTTAAATAAACACATAAGCAAAAGGAACCGATGGAACTCAGTTATGTTGGTGCTTTATGCAGCTGAGTGATATTTTATTTCACTTATCAATGCTGTACAGACGTATACAAGATATAGAAGGAGGAGAGTCAAAATTACTTCAGCCTTTCAAACATCAATGCGCAAAGTGAGAGACGACTTATCTACATTTGCGACGTTGCGGACTTCCTGATAAACTTTATTTTTTCGTAGGGAAGCTAGTCAGCATAAAACTTAAATTCTCCATGATTTTTCGTATTCGATAGCAGAAGATTTGGTTCAAAATTTTAAAAGTCGTAAATTTGGATTGTTTCTCATGGAAGAGATGAATTAAGAACGGAAATTTTGAAACACCGCAATGGAGATACGTGGTTTCGCACTTCAGTCAATGCAATATGGACAGCCATCAAGTTTAAAAAGTTGCATCAAGTCCCCGTCACCGCCGACCAACGCGTTTGTCGATCGAATCAACTACAGTTTGTATGAGCAGGGAGTCAAAACGCCTTCAATTTTTTGAACGCAATACGAACATCCGTCGAGGTTGTATGATTGTATCAAGGCGCCGTAGCAAACGCGTCCCATTCTTTATCGTTACAGACGAATATAAGTTGAGAGAGGCCAGTCATAATGCCTTCAATTTTATACATACTTATTTTTGGGCAGAATGAGAGACGACATTTCTCCATTCGCGACGTTGCAGACTTACTTAGAAATTTTATTTTTCTTTCGAGAAGCCGGTCAACATAAAACCTAAATTCTCCATGATTTTTCGTATTCGATCGCAGAAGATTTGGTTCAAAATTCTTAAAGTCGTAAATTTGGATTGTTTCTCATGGAAGAGATGAATTAAGAACGGAAATTTTGAAACACCGCAATGGAGATACGTGGTTTCGCACTTCAGTCAATGCGATACGGACAGCCATCAAGTTTAAAAAGTTGCATCAAGTCCCCGTCACCGCCGACCAACGCGTTTGTCGATCGAATCAACTACAGGTAGTATGGAGCAGGGAGTCGAAACGCCTTCAATTTTTTGAACGCAATACGGACATCCGTCGAGGTTGTATAATTGTATCAAGGCGCCGTAGCAAACGCGTCCCATTCTTTATCGTTACAGACGAATATAAGTTGAGAGAGGCCAGTCAATGCCTTCAATTATAAACAAACATATTGTTGGGCAAAATGAGAGACGACGTTTCTCCATTTGCGACGTTGCAGACTTCCTCAGAAATTGTATTTTTCTTCTTTGCATTAATGGCAGAGGTCTATTACTTCTTTTATTTTAAACATTAATTATATTAAAAATGCAAGGCCGGATTAAGGGGGTGGCCACATGGGCCGCGGCCCATGGCGGAAAAATTTAGGAGGCGGCAAATTTTGCAACCCTTTTGAATGTAGGTATCAAACAAGCGGGAAAGTTCTAATACTGTCGTATTAGAAAAGCGCTCAGGTGTTAGTAAATGTATTTAGTGAAAAAAGGAAGTATAAACTCCGTCGACTTGGCTGGGAAATGGAAATAAAGCATCAGCTGATATCAAACAAAGGTTACCCAGGAAACCGTAAACGCGTATTTTTGTTTCCCGAAAATGAGCTCACCGTTGAGCTCATCAGGCGCATTTTTTTTTAGGCTTCATTTGAGATCAACGATCAATTTCGATAAGAATTACTCTACCGCTAAGAAATTTTCTTATAGACAAACGATCAAAACTACCTGCGCATTACGTTAAAAGCATAAAATACAGTTTTCACAGCTTTATTTATTTTAAAAATGGACCCCCCCCCCCCCCCCAAAAAAAAGCCTCCACGTCGATGAGCTGGTGCGCCATTTAAACGCATTAGCACTAGTATACTAGTACTCAAAGGCAAGTTGAAATCAAAAAGCGCTGCCTATCGGCTGAGCGCTTAAAAATGAGAGAAAACAATTGGATTCAGAAAATAAATTACAAACGAGAAAAGGCGTCAAGATCTCTCATTTCCTGAGAGTAAAACTATAGTAATTTCTAATTTTGTCGTCTTTCGGTGATACAAGAGACAACACCTTTAATTAGTCGAGTTAAGAGAAAAACCAAACACGCCATTTGACCTGGAACGGAGCGACGCGGCGGTCGGCATGAAACACATAGCGCCTACGAGACTGCATGAATACTTCACGCATTCCGTCAAACACACTGCGGTTAGCAGCAGTCGGCTTGAAACGCATAGTGCCTACAATACTGCATAAATACTTCACGGCTTGCGCCAACACAGTGCGGTCGGCGCGGCGGTGGAAGTTAAAATTTTTAACCACATTTATGTTTGTTCTTTCATAATTGTTTTGTTCTTTTTTATAAATAGAGGGCCTTGTCCAAACATGGATTTGTTTACGGAACTGAACTTTTGTCAGTGTTTACAGGGCTTTTACAAAAAATGTACCCAACACGAGTAATTGCGTCTTATACACCCCTCCCCCACCGGCACGTTCACTTGATGGTTTTTATAAATCGTATTCTACAGATCACACAGGTGAGATTATATTTAAGACGCTTAATGGACGGAGTGAGGAAGGGGAGTAAGATGGTCGATGAGCAGGAGCGAGGAATGGGAGTTCAAAGGTCAGAGTTTTAATAGAGTAGGTCTTATTACTTTCAGAGGCCTTTGTTCAGTCATGGACAGCTATATGTGGCCCTGCCAAGGTTGACTTCCAAAAAACGGAATCACAATTCAGAGTAAAGAGAAAGTCATTAAGAATATTGTTCGGCGGGAAAGAGCCATGCACAAATTCGCCCGTTTTTGGGCCCTCGAAATTGGGGTCGGTGTGAGGTTTTTTTTCATCTATAGGGTGACCCTTTACACATAATAAAATTTCAGATTGAGTATACGCACCGTTTTTGAGATATGGGGGGGCAAAGTCCCCGATTTTTACTCATATTTGCAGGTATTTTATAGTCGAACTTCGGCTGCTACAAGGTACCGGATGTAGATATTGAAGCGCGGTTTGCGGTGATTTGTCAAGCTATTTCTGGATTATTTTTTCACATCTTTTACAAACCCGCAAATGGTTTTTCGGGGGGG